AAACTTTCCCTCTATTATATCACTAGAATTGAAGGCGGCTAGCGTATTTCATTTATTATCTTTATCTGGCAGCTCAACTTGACCAATTAAGGGAAATAAAACTAACAACTAAAGATTTTATCGTTTCTCTGTGTATGACAATTTAATGATATGGTTTGGTTTATAATTACTACTACGTTATGATTTGAAGTATTATTTTAAGGCATATCATCTCACAACTTATAAAATTTTCATCATAATACTGAGAGAGCAATTTGGAATCTATATCGATTTTTGTTGTTTGTGTTGAAACAGTTTGTTACACGGTAATCAGAAACTGTATTAGTTAGTCTTTAAATTTCATAGTGTGGTAAAATGGTATAGACGTGTTTTTTAAAGACTAATTATTTGTGTAACTAAAACTCATGGAGACTGCATAAAGATACAATGCAATGCCAGAATCTAACACACGACTGATTACGTGTAAAGTTGGACACGTCAATTTCGTAAAATGTCCGGATTACCAAGGAAGAAACGGGACGATTTTGCTGCATTTGAATCTCGAGTGTTGAGAAGAAGGAGGGGATGGACAGTTGTAATTGGATCGGATTTTCATAAGGGGTAATACTTATTTAAAATTAAATTTATCCCAATACACTTTCACCTTTATGTAAGTGTATATGTTTTTTATGAAAATGAATTCTTCTTTCCGCATCATAAAAATACACCTTTCAGGTAAAGGCATGAAAACTGCAATTTTTATTTTATGAATTAAACATTTAGAACAAATTGTCACAGTAGTGAATAAACTTCACAACCGCACAAGCAGCTGCAGCGGCTAGGTTATGATATTTAACGGTTTGGTTTTCTCGGTCTAATAAACATTATCATAGGACATGATGTCGCTCAGTCAGTGCTTTAAATTTTGGTTTAATATATTGATCTGTTTCGTAACAGTAGAAAATTATTAACTCGAATTTGTTTAAAAATAGGCTCTTAAAGAAAATTTGGTTTTTGTGGAGCACCCGAATAATATGACTGGATAGAATTTTAGTATATTTTATGCAACAAGTTCGATAAACGCCATTTTGGTCACGAGTTCGCTAATAAACGAGTGTCTGAAGAAGTTTATCAAAGTTCCATCAGTGTTTATAATACAACGTTCGCTTTCAAACCCGTATCTAAACTCCCGAAGTATTTTAAAATAAGAAAAAAAATCTTTTTAAACGTTTTGTTATAATATACCTATAAAAACTAGATAAAAGGATTGAGAATTATAAAAATTATATAATAAACTGGTTTTTAAGGAATAATTGTTTTTAAAATCTGATTTCGGAATTATCAACAGGGTAATAATACAAGTAATTATAAATAATTAGAAAATATCATTAGTAACGTAATATTTTTTTATTTTTTTTTAGGTAAGTTGAACAAGATTGGCATGTTTCGACTTGAATATACCAGGGCAGGTAAGATACACGTTCTAATATTGACACAGTATTCTACAATATATGTATAGGTCTACAAAAAATCAGAAATTAACTGGATAATCAGAACGAAGCATTTTCTCTATTTGTATATTTATAGTCACAGAGTAAGTGACGCTTATTCACGAGCCGTCCGTATATGTTTTATACATTGTAAGACACAAATTTGGATATTTGAACATAGTTAAATATTTTTTAAATTGGTTGTCTCGTTTAGTTAGACAAGAGGTGGCATCATCTTTAATATTTAAAATAGGACACCCTCCATATTTTATCAATTTAAATTTGTGTGCTTTACTTCAAGTTAATATCCAGTTTTTGTATTGTTTGACCTCGATTTCTCAACAATACGAAAACCAGCAAAATTAGGCATGTTCCAACAAAACGTTTTAATATATATTATTATTAATTATGCTTTCTAAATTATTATTGGAAAGGTCGTTGCTTTGACGAAAGACGCTATAAAATTTTAATGGAGTTTCTTAAGAGAATAAAATAAATTACATCTTTTATTGGAGCTTTATTAGATCAATGGCAATGCTTAATATCCAGGGTGCCCGGAAATGATGAGCAAAAAATGTAAGGACTGATTCTGTTCGAGAAATTGATATTAAGTTAATTACAGAGAGTCAATTTTTTTTTGAATGATTTAATTTTCCTTTTTATTTCTAGTATACCTATTAATATCTATTTAAGCTCACTTATAAGTAATATAATGTTGGGTTTATTTTTTTTAAAATTTAGGGTATGGCAAATAAAGACTATTAAAAAAGCTGTTAGCAAGAAAATCGCCGTTTTAATTTTAGCTTATTAATAACATTTAATAGTTTTAAGTTATTCAAAAACTGTCAAAATTTACTTTAAAATTTGTTTCGCGAAAAATCATGGTTCCAGAACATGCTTTGATAATTATTGTACATAATCAAAAATCCGACACTGATTTAATTTTTTTAACTTAAATTTTGTTGATAGCGCTTTATTTTATTGTGGTATAACGGGAGTATGTCCCTGCTTGTCTTTAATTGTGAGTGTTTAGAATTTGTAAAACGCTTTTAAACAAAAAAGTTTTCTTAAGGTCATGGGCAGCCAATGGTGCGCAACTAAGAGTTTTACTTCAAATTTAGTATAAAAACAAAAAAGAAAATTAATAATAAGTCTTTTAAAGTTAATCAGCACTGTTAACTTTAATATTAATTTCCCGGATACAGTCAGACCTTCAATTTTTTGCGTAATTTTCGAACCCTCTGTAGCTATGGAGAAATATTAAATCGACTTTATGTTTAATTTTATCAGGTTTGCCAATTATTAGTGCATTTCCAAAAACTAACACCATGTTAAAACGTAATCAAAATATTTTTAATGCATATTTTAAAAATAATTGATTAAAAAACAATAAATAAAAATTTAACTGCATAACCGTAAAAATGATTTAATGATAATTTATAAATTCTTTGCTTTTTATTAAAAGCAGAAAATTTGAATATGTAACACATTTAATTAGAATCAGCCAATTTTTATGTATTTCTCGACCAAAAGTATTTCCAATTTTGATTAGCTTTGCCACAGATTGTTTCTAACTGAACCCGGCAGGGCTTGGTATAAGTCAAGGAAACTACAGTTCAAGTTAATTGCGTAATTAAAACTACGTAATTAACCAATTTGTCAGTAAATTAATACTGTGTTATTATCGAAGATTAAAATTTCATAAATCATGAGTTCGTGGAGTTCCCGGGCCTGAATCTCGAATTTATAAAACCGCCACCGTCAATATAGTTCCCAATATAGATTTTTTTAATAAAAACTGTTTACCCTACAGTCTACAATTCAATAAACGAGGCAAATAGCAAAATCAATTTTATTTATAAAAAACTGTAAAACAAATAACAGGATAGTTATTATCACTTTATATGTAGTGATTACTTTATATTGTAAAAAAGAATAATTCAATATAAGTCAGACAACAGCTCCGTTGTAAAAGTGTCACGAAAATAGTATAGCGCTTCTCTTGGCCAAAATCTGAAAAGTAGATTGAAAATAATAAAATGAATACTCCCCAAGTAATAACAATGCAAAATTTACTGTTTCCCATTGCGGTAACCATATCTATAAAAAATATATATATCAGATTTTGAGGGTTTGTTTTTACGACGTTCCAAAGTTTTCATATAAAATGACAACAATATTATAGACCTCAATCCAGCACGTATTCTCTCGTGGAAATATTCTCGTCAATTCCGAATGAACGTGCGATGCAAGAATTTCGATATTGTTTTTCTTTACAAAGTTCTTAACGTGATCTCAATACATATTAAACTACTTTTTGTTATATATTATAAAATAATTTAATAAATGTTAGAAAAATAAATATGGAACTATTGTTCGTGTTGTTATTGCAATTTTTCGAGGGGCAAATGACTGAAACAATCTGTACAATAAAATCCTGTTTTTGAAAAAAAAAACCCAAAGTTCGCCAGATACGTTTGAAGTTTCCCAAATACTTCTAATTTTTCAAACTTCCTAGAAATCCCCAAGAGTATTCAAAAAATTACCTAACATACTACATAAGAAATTGGGATAACGGATAAGCCTTAAAGACCCACTATGAAAGCTGAAAGAAGAATACCAGTTGTGGGTACTTATAGAAATATCGGTAAAATTGATCGATAATACACCGAGAGTGTTTAAGGGATATAAAACACAAGAAAAACAAGCCAGAAAAGCCCACATGCACTGCTATGGAGAAAAGAAAGCGAAAACACGATCTTTCAAAGCATAGTAGAGAATATCACCTTAGAGAAACAAAATAAGAAAGGTCAAATTAGATTATATAAGAAGACAAGTCACAAAAATCGACAAAATAAGAAATATGGCAAATAGGAGTGGAATGCTTAATAACAAGAAAGCAGTGCCATTGTATAGTCACGTTCAAATATTGATAGAACACAGGTCACCGAAAAGAATACTGGAATAGTAGCCTTCAGGGGGAAGACATGTGATAATAGATAAAGAGCTGAGGGTAGGAGACTGGAATATGGAATGTAGCAGACCTGTGGAGGACCAGAGCGGGAAAATGTCAGAATAAGAAGAAATTACGGCTTACACTTTTGCTTCTATGGTTTAAATTCTCCCGAAGACCCTGAGATATTTTCACATACTTTGGAATTCACCCCGAAATGCGTGATTTACCCCTCACGCCGTTTATATTAATTAAGATTTCTTATTCTAACACCAGCTCAAAAATTGAATTAATTTCATTTGTTCCTTGTTATTTAGTAATAGTAAGTACATCTCAGCAAGCATATACATATTTTTATTCGTTATTCTCTGCAATTGAAAGGAAAAAACATCGAAAATCACAGACTTGGTGGATGTTAAAAGTTCTGGTAGTTCCACAACAGTTATTTTCCACTGCGAAAGTATGTATCGATTTGTCAAACCTACATAACTATTTCTTTGAGATGTAGGAAAAAAGTTACTATACGCAACAATAATACGATATATATATTATGCTCTAACTAATTAAGTAATACTTACGGGATTAAGGTAAATATAATTCCAATTTCGGGAGGTAACTTAACTAAACGCTGATTGGTAACTTGAGCTTTAAAAATCTCTTTCGCCACGTCACTTTGTTTTAAAACCTTATTGAAATATTGAAATCTTATGTCCGGTCTCTTGCATAGTCCGGTGTCTACCATGAACGGACATATTGTTGTGAAATGTACCCTGTTGTTTGGTATTCTCCTATAAATTCATTATTTTATAAAATAAAATTGATGTTGATTAAAGATTTAAAGATTAAGCGAGTTTCTTGTTTTCTTTCATAATCTTGAATACCTCATATTATTTAAATCGATTATACAGGCTGTGGAGTCTCACAAATTCGCTGCTATTATTGGTATGTCAGTAATTGTAAGAGATACGAAATCCGTTAAATGGCGATTTTGGAGCTTAGTCTAAAGCCGTTTCGATATTGAGAAAATTCTGACTAGTTTCAAAGATGCCTGGGAAAAACAAAAATCGAAGGTTTTTATTGTTCTACTTTTTAAAAGATATTTTGAAATAAATAATACTTTGTCGTGAGAATATTTTGTGTTTTACAAGATTTTGCTTCTAAATGCGAAAAGGTGTTTCGTCTTCGCGTTTTACAAATACGAATATGTTTCCTTTTTTTTATATCTAAATAATATTTTTTCTTTTAAATCTCCAAGTGATTAAAAAATAGTTAAATTTAAAATTAAACCTGAATTATTTATTCGGTTAACCAGAGACCTAAAAATCTAACTATTCACAAATTACAGAAAACTTATAAATTTCGAATCTAATAGCATCTTGTAAATATTTTTTTTTTCCGGATATGTCCCATCTAGTCGGTATTTTCCTAGGGTTGCTCCAATTAGTTGCGTATGGATGAACTCGTTAATATTCCTTTAAACAATTGAAGGATCTTTGTTACTTCAACCAATTTCAATAAGGGTATATTTTTTGATAACAAATACCTTTTTTTTACGTTTTAATATATATAATATATATTTAATCATGAAATAAACTTTTTAAACATAGAATATTTCTACATTTTTATCGAATTTGGCAAAATTATATGAAAAATCTGTTTACGTTAAAGTAACCAATTGTAACCAATTTATGACCAAGTCCTGATTACAGTTTGAAAGTTTAATTTCTCGTTTCAGGGATAAAATGTTCTATTTTTCTTAACCTTTCCAAACATATATATCAAGGTCTGTATAATTTTCAAGATGTTTATTTTACTCAAATTTGTCGAATTAAACGCTAAATTGAAAAAATAGTTTGCAAAAAGGCCCATTTTCTAAATCTGAAGAAAAAAGTTACCTGAACTCCTCTTCTAGTCCTTCCATCAAACCCCTTACCGCATATTTAGAGGCACAATATGGAACCAAATTATTCAGTCCCAACAATCCGGCCATTGAGGATAAGCATACCACATGACCATGGTTATTTTTTTTCATTGCAGGCAAGAAGGCTTCCAAGGTCTGAAGAATATAAAATATATTTATTGGATTTATTTTAAATCTCACTTTCAACCAATGAGACCTTGCTTAGAACGAAAATGGTGCAAAGTTAGGGCGCATGCGCGGAAGATTGCCTTCTACGAAAATATCATAGTTGTCATAGGTGCATCAATTTTAAAATAAAGTAAATAAATATTCAAGGTTTATACTGGAAACGCAACTTTCTTAAATATGTAACCAAAACTAATCCTGCATTGCTTTTTTACACACCCATTAGTAATATGCAATTTTCTTCCTTTAATCCTCCATAACTCAATATTAAATACTTGAATATTAAAATCTTGAATCTTTTGGAATCGACTTTATTTTGAAGACAGACTTCAGCCATGCGACGAGGGTTTAAACTTTAAACCAACATAAGTTTCTGCGCAGTTGTCGCAATTTTAATTAAAATATATGTATCGCCGCACAGTGCTCCACACCATGGACAAAGTTAGAAATTTTCACTTTTTTTTTAAAGCCTTCAAAATATTATTTACTGATAAAAGACTATCTGACATTGTCAAAACTGATGGAATCTTCAATTGCAATCAAGTCGCCTTGTTTCAATTCACAGTCACTATTTACCTGTTTAATAAGTACGTACTTCTTCTTATCCAAAAGATGTTTTATTCTTTATTGGTTTTTCGGCGTTATTAACAGGCGTCTTATAATATGTAAAAAAATGAATACACTAAAATTAAATAAGAATTTAAAAAAAAAACATCTAAAACCATTCCTGAGATTACAAGATACAGTTTTAGAACAATTTAATACTTGTGTTTCATATTTAAATAAAAAAAATTTCTTATAGGAGAACAGTGAGAAAATTTTTGCATCAGAAACTCGGACCTTATAAACAAATGGTTTTGTGCGTGCGAATGGGAAATGGGTGTCTTGTATTATCAACAAACAAAACAATATTGAAAATTGAAGTGATCCCAGATGATACATTTGAATTTTTCAAACAAAGGTAAAATTTTTCTGCTTGACTGTAAAAACTAAATTTAGAAATTGCACAAGAAATAGGTCATATTGTTTACGGTGACTGTTGTGAATGTTCACTTCCTGATGATTCAAGAACGCAAGTTGAAGATATGCCTGGACCTAGCTCCTTGGACCTTGTAATGGAGCTTTAAGTAAAACTAAAAAAAACGATGGGTTGCAGATATAAATACATATCGAGCAGAAGAGATAAATTTCTAAGAGATGCACCAACACCATTAAACCCCAATATTGTGTATTGTTAAATCTTTCAGAGCGAACATATTGTCTTTTAACAAGTCTTATTCATTCTTTTCATAAAGATCATAAAGAGTGCCCTCCAAATAACCATATTTTAAGAAAATTTTAACTTCCAAATTAGAAGTAACAGAAATCTCAGAAGAATATTATTTAGCTTATTACAACTTACAACAAAATACTTTTGTAAGCGGGATTTCGATGGCAGTGGTAATCATAGTCTTCCACAAAAAAAATTCTCAAAGGGGATATAATGAGGACGGATGAACATTTCTTTCTGGTTACCTTTGTAATACTTAAGTTAGTGGAGTGTGACATAGCCGAAATTTTGTAGGTCAATCCTCTACCATCTTCCATTTTATTCTGTAGACCGTTAAAATTTTTGTTTATAAAAGAAAATGCCGATTTAATTCTTGAAGAGAACTCCAAAGTGACAGAACAAATAAAAAAATTGCTTAATTATAATAACATTAAAAATAGGTTCTGAGGTAGAATACAAAATGATTTTTACAATGTACTCCGAAACAGATGAATTCTAAGACTATTATTGAACGATCCAGAAAAATGTTGTTTTAGTTTGTCGACACTTCGTGGATGGATCCGTTTTTTTGAATGCTTATTACATATTTCACACAGGTTACCATTTAAGTGCTGGCAAGTAATACAAAACCGTTTTTCAAAATTCAAAAAAATACATGCAGATAGAATTTAAATCTAAGATGGGCATTTTGGTTCACATGCCCAAACAAGGTTTTGGGTCGAGTAATGATGATGATAAATACTGCCAGACGATTTTTTGTAAACGCAAAGGATTTTCATATTATTTTAAAGGTGATATCTAGCGGTTTTAAAATTAATGTGGCCACATTTAAAATTTTACTTAAAGACACACCAGAGCTTCAATTTATATTACTGGTATTTTAATTCAAGTAATGTCCATAAAGTGCTGGTTCACGGTTGCGAAATGATAGAACATTTTGAAGTACCGATCGGGCAATTATCAGAAGACGCGCTTGAAGCTCGCCGGAAGTCATCCCTCGCAAACACAAATACAGATTTGATAATACACTTAGCTTTAACTGCCGTTCCTATTATATCCTTCAAGAAAAATATTGATGTTAGGAAAAAAAGCGCTTTAGTTTCAGACATTCTAGCTTACATTAAAATCCCACAATATTCAGATTCCCAAACTGATAAAATTAACGTAAGTGAATTAAGCTACTCCGATTCGGATGATTCCAGCTAAATTACACAACTACAACGTTGCGTTTAATTTTTGTTTTGTTTGTTGTGTTTATATCACTTAATTTTTACTTGTTTAAATTTGAGATTTTTGTTGTATCAATCCAGAGGTAATAGAAATGACACAATTGACACCTGGATATTTTATATTTAGGGTATTTCATATATTGCTTACCATTTTCATTTCCTGCAAGGATTAAATAATTTGAAGAAAATTCATACAAAATATTTTTTAAGAATCTGCAAAAATTTCCCAGTTAAAATCTATTTTAAACCTACAAAAATGGTTCCTTCCTTTATAATGTGGAACTGTGTAACAATTTAAAAGTTTCAAATTACTTTTTTTAATTAAATAATAGGTCGAGTTTAAAGTTAATTTAGTAGGTCAGTTATCTAGATTTGCGTTGTATTTACAAAAACAATCATAATTGACTAATTTAAATTTTTGGCAAAACTGCGGTTTTTGTCCGTTTTTCCCTATACCGTGCAGGACTATGCGCCGCTCAAGATATTTTAATAAATTCTTCTCATGGTTTTAAAAATCTGAAAAAAATGTTTTCAATAATAAGATTATCTTACCCAAAAGTGTGCGAATACGTTAATTCGTATAATTCTATCAATCTCTTCTGGAGTATGATCCAAAAACGAGTGTGTTGGCATAATGCCGGCGTTATTAATTAAAATCGTTACTTCACCTACATCTCTCAGGACTTTTTTTGCTACTTCCAATACATCCTTTCTGTTGGATACATCACATCTATAAAACAATTGTATTAATTCAAAGACATCATTGGTACAACAGCGCTGAACACCAATAGTAAAATATAGGTCTCAGTTTAATAAGGCAAATTGTTGAGAAATAAGTCGAATAGTTAATAATAATAATAGTTAAGTGAGAAATTATGACTTATTCCAAACGTTTCGGTCTTTTTTTTTAGAATGTCCTTCAAAGGCCATCTCCATACTTGTAAGCATATACTAAAGAAAATCCCAGACTTTTTAAATGACGCATGGTTTCTTCATTATTACTTTCATTTATATCCCATCCCACCACGGTAGCACCATTTGCCGCGTACATTAATGCCAATTCTTTTCCTATTCCATGACCGGTTCCAGTAATCTAAAACAACATTAATTGCAATGGTAGCGTTTAATTCATAGTGTATGGCTTACCAATACAATTTCACCTTTAACGGATTTTGGCTGAGAAGGATTCAAAATATGATATAAACTTTTTAGCCAATAATATGGAACCACGACAAACAATAGAAATAGAACGTTTCCCACGTAGAGCAGAAATTCAATAAAAACTTGCACATTCCTAAAATTTGACAAAAAAAGTATGAGGGTCTTTCCAAAAACAAGTTAACTTTTAAAAAAAAAATAAAACTTTAATGTTAATTTTTCAAAGAAACTTCCACAGGCTACTGTAATACTTTTTTCAAAACTTCTGGATTCCTACTGCGTATGTTTTTGCTGAGCCGAACTTGCTGACGTTTCGTCGATCATCCTGTTGGCTTCTTCAGAGCTTGACTGAAAGTGGCTCGCATTTTACTCTGTACCTGCTTATATATTGTTTGAGGGAGGCGGAGCTGCTAATGAGAGGCATAAGCACCGTCTCGGATGACTGGATCCCATATTGGTGACAGATAAAGACCTGATTCGCGGTTACGATTGTTAGGTTGTTTATAGATTTCTATAGACTCTCGGATTTTTATTAGATATTATTATCAATAGAAAATCAGACCTAACATTGGGTCATTGTGTTCACAGAAAATCCACGTACACAGACCGATACCTTAATGCACTCAAGCCCGAATTAAAACACCTTACCTCTGCTCTTCTCTTTCTACATTAAAGATACTAAGCGTTCCATTACAAAATACACTTCACCACAACCTTCCTATAGCAATGAGGCCGAAAGCAGTCCTACACTTGTTACTGTGGTCCTTCCTTACATTCAAAACATTACTGACCGCATATCAAAAGGTCTAAAGAAATATAACGTCAAAACCAGATTCACCACTTGTCAAAAATCTCTCAACGCCTTCCATACGTCAAAGACAAAGTTCCACTTGCCATGTAAGGAGTTTACAGCATTCCATGCGTGTGCGGCAAAGAATACATTGGAGAGACCGGACGAAAAATATCAACTATAACAACACAAATAAACGACGACAAATAAACTCATCAGCAGTTGCCGAACACAATCACGTAACCGGACATAAGATTTTATTCGATAAAACTAAAATTCTTGCATGTAATCAATTGTTCTTCCAACGAAAAATCCGAAAGTCTATAGTAGTCTATAAACAACCTAACAATCTTAACCGCGACTTAGGTCTTTACTTGTCACCAATATGGGAATTAGTCATCCGAGCCATTGTTTATGCCCCTCATTTAGCTCCGCCCCTTCAAACAATATATAAGCAGGTACAGAATAAAATGCGAGCCAGTTTTAGTCAAGCTCTGAAGAAGCCGACAGGCTAATTGGAGAAACGTTAGCAAGTTCGACTCAGCAATAACCGACGCAGCAGGAATCCAGAAGTTTTGTAAAAAGTAACTTTAATGTTGCCATTATACAATGCAAGTATATGAAGAAAAACTATCAATTCTTGAAACTATCAATTTCTTGAATGTGGGAGACAATGTTTCAGTGTTGAAACTAAAAGAACTTCGACTCTTTATGTGTGCTTAATTTTACACAACGTTTTATACAGATCGATCACCCTGTTATGAAGTTTTCTTCTTTAAATTTCCGCGCCTTTTATTGAAGTCCGTGTTGTCCACAGTGATCCTTACTGGAACAAGAGTAAATTTAAAAAAGTCGGTTGTATTGCAAATATTAACAACGTTTTTAGCAATCGAAGCAACAACTTTGTGGTTGACCACTCGGTTACTGTCACTTTAAGTAGCGCTTAACGGAGAGTTGTAAAAATAAAAATAATGGATGTTTGAAGTTCTTTTAATTTCAAATATGTATTTTAGTGTACGTGTACCGCATTGTTTTAAAAATTTACCAGTTTCACTACAGGTAGTTTTCTATAATACAACTACAACTACACTGCAACTGACAACAAAACATTTTTTCAACAAATTTTCGATCATTTCGATCGAATCATTTCGATTCCACAATAAGACAACCCTGGTTCTTAATTGAACTCTTTAAATTTGAACTATCCATTACCGAATTGAATTGTGTAGGTATATTAAACATAATATATTATTCGCCATTATTCGTCTCTAATTAATATGGATTTTGGCTTTATCAGTTAAAGAGCAACAAATAATTGAATGTCACCAAAACATTTTAAGTTAGAACTATACATATAAATTACAAATGAAAGGAAAAACAATTTCGCAGGGAATATCTTTCGGGCATCTCTTTGTGGCGTTGGTGGTGTTACTGAACCGTATAAAACCAACGTAGCACGACATGCGATCGATTATCAAAACTTTGGTTCTGCCCTCGGTTCAATATTACAATTTTCACCCTCATCCTCAGTGACATAGCATAAAAGACAATACCCAATTATATACTGGTAAATCGCAGATGGTATTTTAAGATTTGTCAGTTCTGATGTACTGTCAGTTCAGTAAATGTATCCGTACTATTTTGCAAAAACATAACCAACAACGATTGGTCTCGGTGACATTATAGTGTGTAACAACTTCTTCTGTCACTCGCTTTTTAAACGCTTGTTCCGCTCGTCTCAATTCAAACTCGTGACTCAAACTTACTTTAATAAGTATGATAGCATACACACGTGCAATTTTATAATAAGAAAGACGATAATTAACTTTTATAAATAACTTGCAGTACTGTTGGTCTTCTTAATGTATCTGCTTGTTTAGTTTTATTCGGAATTAGAGATATTACCCTTGACCCTTAATGTGTTCTATTCCCCTTCTTAACATATAAAAATACACCGAGATGTCTCAAAATTAAATGAGGCTACTTATAAGTTGTATCTACCCCTAAAAAAAAGGTGAAGAATAATATCCTCCTTATAAGTGAAGAAGTTGTGCGCCCTAATTGATAAGAAATTTCGTCTCTATTTTAGAGCATTGTAATATGCACAGCCTTTGTTTCCAAAAAAAAACTAAATTCAAAATATATATTGACAGATTTGAAAAGTCACTACGCGCATAACCTTTCACAGTATTAGTTTGTTGACCTCGGAAGATAGTAAATACAGTCTTTCACTATAATTATTATATTTCAACCCGTAGATCCAATTTTATTTTGGGGCTTATTAACTCTACTTCCATTTTAATTAAGACAGGAGCGAGCACAAACAATACCGAAATTAAACGTAAACAAAAAAATGTGTAGATATTTATTATTGTACCAGATCTTATTTTCCAATTAAAATGTATACGCTTGCGTTGTTACTTATTTATGTTATAAATTACCTAAATTATCATTGTGTGTTTCATCGACATTTTGGAATTAGGTACAAGGTTCTGATCATTCAAAGAAATTGCCTTTCTGACATTAGGCATTATTGCGCACATCTTTTTCGGAAAATTTGTAATTCATTCTTAATTTGCTCTGCATTGTTTTTCCAGCTATATGGAAGGGTTTCACTTTTGTTCCTCTCTGAAACTTATCGAGTCACCTAAGTGGTTACAAGAAAGAGGCAAATCTTTAAGATTTTATTACTATACATTTTAAGCAAAAAATAAAAGTTCAACCAGGAACTACTGATATGCTCTAAAAAGCATAATAGTATGTTATGTAACAAGTTTGATCAAGGGAATTTATTTTGGCAAGAGCAGCAGCCTAGTGTATAATAAAATTTAATGTTTAATGTAAACGCCCACTCAACTGAGTTTTGCTCGTGGTGCCATTTATCTTATTTCGTTTTTTCTTTCTGGAAAAGAACAGCGTCGATACCAAAAAATCTTACTCATATTACCAAACAGTCTTTTCTATCAAAATAAAGCTCGTTATTTTTGTGTTGGTATTGTATTTTGATGTGAGATTTAGATCTATATACAGGGTGGTAATTAAAGATACGATCTAAATTTAAAGACATTTCTGAATAAATTTTATAAGTATTATAAAGTGTCGGTTTCAAGGTACTAAGTTGATCAGAATTATTAAGACCAGTGGACCTTGGAAGCTAAGCAACTACAAATGAAACTTTGTACTGAAGTACGTACATACCTTTAGACAACCTTGTATAGAGCTTTTCTTTATTTATTGAATTCAAAAGTCACTAGTGTATCTTTTGGAGTGATTATTTTATTGTAGTAGGTTTACAAAAAATAGGTGATCTGTTGTAGAGTAGAAAATTTTATCATCATTAAAGCAAACTAAAATATTTATCAGTTCCATCGCCAGCAAACTGCAATATAACTCTTTAAATTAAGATAATAAAACAAATCATCAATACTTTTTATTTAGGTTTTGGGTTATGTTTTAATGAGAAGTGCTAAATCAAGACTGGCGATTTCAAAATATTTAATTATTTAAGTTTGATTTAAATATAAATTTAAAAATGCCGTGGATATCACCAAATGATTAATGATTGATGAATTAAAATCTCAATTCCGCTTTAGTCACAGGAAAAACAAACAGGGAAACCGCACATAACTCATGTATGAAAACAAAATAATTGTTTGTTAAACACTTACATGTCGCTAATGCACTATCACCCTATATGAGTTTACAATATGACCACCAAATCCAAATCTAAATTAATCATTGCTTCATATTTATATTTACTTATCACTGCTACTGACTAAACATTGAGTTCACGGCGATAACATATTGATCTGCAAGTTTAAACGTATTGTGATTGGGAATAGAAATATATTGGGTGTGACTTTTGTTTGCTGTAATGCTTAAAATGTTTATTTTAAATAATTATCGATTCATTGTTTTTATGTTTGAAACGGAATCCAAAATTGCATTACTGCATTACATTTAAAACATTTATATATTTAAAATCTTTGGACGTATGTTTCACAAGACTAGGACTTTACTATTAATATTTTAGTAGGTAAATTAGTAATGATTTGTTGCCACTGTATAGAAATCAGATAATCGTATGTCACACATATTTCTCAAAAATCAATATTGCTGCAGTTTGCATTCATATAATAGCAATTAGTCTTTTGTCGATATTGATCCAATTTTTTTTTGTAAATGCAGAATTAGAGTATGAAAATTATTTTAATAATATATTTTTATAATATAATCGCAAAGTTACCGTTCATCTGTTAAGTTAATGCCATTTTTCCACTTTGCAGCTTTAAATGCAACAATAATTGTACAATCTTACAAACTTAATCTTAATTTTCATATTGACTTGTCAGAGATTGGCATAATTGAATCGCGTGTTTAACATGATTAACCAGAAAAAAAAAACTTTGTTTCCTCCACTTAACCGTCATTATTGCAACTATTTAAGTACTAAACATACTTCGGTAATATGTTTATTCAGGATACCACTCCCTAGAAATCGTCGAAATGATTAAAATTAAAACCGAACCAAATTTATACAAGATATACAAAAAGTATGACAACGGTGGAATATCTTGAGAAATAAAAAATTTGTTAAAAAAAGTGCATATAAATAATAATAAAAGAACTGTTTAATAACAGCCAACATGACCACCAGCCCAACCCACTGATAGAGTGAAGGAGGTAGCTTACATCTTAAATGGAAATCTTAAATTATAACAGTTACTCTTGTATTTCTTGATAAATCGTGATAACTTGGTGATTACAGCGCCATCTATCGAGAATCCAAAGAAAACTTTGGACAAACCCTGAAGCTTTTGTGACTGAAATCGGGTTTCCATTTCAGATTGAAAAAGTGCCCCCTTCCACCACTAATGGGTTGCATGTTTGCCATGTTTGGTGTCATTGAACAGTTTTTTTTTAATATTAAAAAAAAAATTGAACCATTGTGTAATACTAGAGATATTCTACCTTTACTATACTTTTGGGGCGCCTGGTATATAAAAGGCCATCAGAATCGCACATACCTAAGGTGACAAGACAGAAAAGTCAAAAGGCGTGTGTTATAATGTTTGTGGACTGTAAACTTTTTTCTGTGGAGCACTAAAACCACTTGTTGTTACATTTTAAACTCGTGGTTTTATTTAGACTTTGACACGGGCGATACATTCGCTGCTGTGTGTCAAACTATACTCAAACGGTTGTGACTTGCTAGCGGCTATAAGGCATAGGCAGCGGGGCGAGGTTTACAATATATATAAGTTCTACATTATTGCCACAGCGATCATTTGTTTTCTAAGTCCTCAAAATGCCCCCCGCCTTGAACCAACATGGTGAGTTAAAATGAAAAAAAAAAAAACGGAACAACGCTCTACGGGAAGCACTAAATCTGCTTTGATTCACACACTACACATTGCATGAAGTATCTTCCTCCATGGGTAGAGGACGAATTTTTGTGAAAGCCCTCTTGATGGTCTTAGTCGATGTGCGGATTCTCGCACTATGGATTGATTGTCCCGCAGAGAGGTGGCAAGTTATTTTCTTTGACAAGTACTAGAGCACCCTCAGTGGAACTAGTTTTTCATCGATTTCGTTGCTGAAGTCCGGATATATACTCCTTGCTCCATGTAGTCCAAAAATGTTGCTGGATTTGTTGTTGATACTTAGATAGCCGATTTTCTCTCATTTGCTGAAGATTTCCATCTGGGTCGGCGGTTAACGTTTTTCCCACAAGAAAGTGCGAAGGGGTTAGTTGTTGGGTGAAGTCATTAGGGTCGGACGAAAATGAAAGTGTTCCTGAATTTAGAATACCTTCTACTTGCACTAACAACGAATAAAATTCTTCAAATGTTAAGCTTGCATTATCCATTACCCGTTTCAAATGATGTTTGGTGCTTTTAGTTTCAGCCTCCTAAAGGCCTCCGAAGTGCGGTGAATTGGGAGGTATAAATCGCTATTCAATACCTTCGCGAGAAATAGAATCTTCGAGAGAAATATCATTTTTAGCACCTACATAGTTTGTACCATTATATGAGTATATAATTGACGGTTTACCACGACGAGACACAAATCGCCTTAAAGCTAGGATAAACGCATCACTGGTCAAATCTGATACCAGCTCCAAATGGATAGCTTTGGTCGCGAAACAAATGGATAAACAAATGTACCCTTTGGTAATTTAAAAGAACGACCTTTGTGACATTTAATTAAAAATGGACCAGCATAATCCGTGCACATAAAATGGTTTGTCAATTAAAAATCGGGTACCTGGTAAATTCACATCTTTATTTGGATATTTTGTGACTTAGCGCGACATTTCATGCATTTTCGAACGGTTTACTTTGCAAGATTTCGTCCTGTTACAGGCCCACATTTTTCGCGAATTGAACTTAGAAGCATTTGGTGACTTGCATTTAGCAGACGCAAATGTTCTGTTTAAAAAATTAATGTGGTTAATCTGTACTTTGTGGAAAGTAGAATTGGATGTTTCTTGTCATATTTAAAATTTGAATCATCTAATCTACCACCGATTCTTATAATTTGGTCTTCGTCCATAAATGGACTTAAACTACGAATTTTACTTTTCGTGTGGATGTCTATTCCGTTTAATAAAGCGTTATATTCAGAAAATAAAACTTTGAATTTGGGATATTTTAATAAAACTTAACAACGAATTATTGATTTCTGATTGGGTTAATCGATCGTAAAAACGCTCCGTTTTTAGTTGAAAACAATTATTTTTGAAACGAAGTATATAAGCTACGAACTGATTCAGTAAATTTAGGTTTGAATACCGCTCAAATAGAGATGAATCTTGGATGCTTATAGCAAAAAAAAAAAATTCTAGCAATTTTTCATTTGTTGCACTTGGAAAGTTTAGCCAAGAAGTGTCAGATTGCTCTAGCCAAGTTGGACAGTTCCACCAAATAGAAGTGTGTGCAATTTCACCTGGATAGACTCCACGCGAGAGAAGGTCTGCAGGATTGTCTTTGGTAGGAACATATCGCCACACGAAATTAGAAGTTAGGTTTTGAATTTTCGCTACTCTATTACCTACAAAGGTTTTTAGAAGATGTGGACTAGTACGTATCCAATTTAGAACAATCATAGGCCAACTGCGAGGCATCTGAAAAGTCATGATTTGATCGTCACGTAAAGCAAATCAAGGTACTTCAAGATGTTTTAAATTTGAAAGTTCGCATTGAATTTGTTGTGTATATGCTAGGTGGAATGGATTCGTCCCGATTTAGTTTTTCCAGCCACAATTTTTGAGTTGTGGTTTTTGCGATTACATTGCAAGGTGACAAAATACCAAGTGGATCGAAAATTTGACTTATAATGCGCATGCAATGATTTTGAACATTAGTTTGTCTAAAACACAATTCCAAATTAGGCCAGGGGTTTTTGCGTTTTGATTTGAGCCGAAATTTAAAAACTTATTGGAAATGTTGGAATTATCTAAATCTCCTAAGATAATAGGTTCGTTGGAACACCGTTTGCGCAATTCGAAACAATCTTTTAGTATTCATCTTTTAGAATTCCTTTAAAACTCTGGTAGCAAATCGTCGACGTAAAAGTCATGACGTATAATTTTCCAGATTTTAGGATATTCATTTTCGCACTGATTTGCAAGTTCGAATAAACATCGAATAGATGGGGATTCCCTCCACAAGATTCTCTGCAGGGATCTATCCTCAGGTTTGACTAGAACTTGACGATACATCTTTGCGATGTCCGCAGATATGACATATTTGTCGCATCTGAAGCGTAAAATGATGGAAAGTCGGTCGTCTTGAATAGTAGGACCCACTAACTGGATGTTTAGTGACATGCCATTTGAAGTAACCAAAACTAACCAACCTAATCTTGTTTTTTGTAAGATAGCCTTATTCGTACCTAAATCGATTCTACTTACACCTAAAATTTTCCAGAACAGATCTACACCTATCAATAATTGAATTTTGCGAGGTGTATGGAAATTGGGATCAGCAAGATGAATGTTTCTTGGAATGTCCAAGGCAGACTTGTTTGTTTTTGATATTTGGTAAATTGACCGTAATTTCAGGTAAAACAAAGCTCAAAAGATTTGAACTGAGGTTTCCGTTCGTAAAGCGAATAACATTACATTTGTGTAGAACGTTTGATGTCGAATTATTTAGACCTGAGAGGGTGACAGTAGTCTTAAATTTGTCTAGCTGTCGACGGTCTACAAGATCAGCTGAAATAAAACTCGATTAGCTACCACAATCTAGTAAAGCGCGTATGATGTGTACATTTTGAAATTAATCAAAAATTTCTACGCTGGTTGTAGAAAGCACTTGTTTCTAACCACGAAGAAGATAATACAACTTTATTTGCTTCGATAGAACGACTTTCTTCCTTCGAAGAATCGTTATTTTGATTTGACGAGACGCCACTGGAATTTTCAAAATTTTCAAACGATCTGGTAGCATGCAGCTATGTTTTGAGGCAATTAGAGCATAAACGAACCTTTTTCACAAAATCATTTCTTTCGTTGACCGAAACTTTGAGTAAATTTTCACATTTTCACATTGGAATTTTTGTTCGCGTTCTGTTGACATTTGTCAGAATTTTTTGCTTCAATTGTTTCGAGCATGTCAGGCATTAATACCCACTGATAAATATTAGTGATACTATATGGTTCTATTCAATTTTTTATACATTCCATCCTTCTAGAGACATAGAAGTCAATATTGTTTTATATCCTTCATAAGCTTGTAAAAAATAGATTTT